TAAACAAACAAATAAATAAATTATCAATAAATCTTACTGACCCAAACTTCTGAATGTAGGTGTATTAGATATAGGACATACAAAAAGCACTTGAAAATTTAGCAGAGCTAAATTTACTAGTTTGGCGAGGTGTTGAAAATTAAAATTAAAAAAAGTTATTCTGGATACTGGATATTGTTGGGGATTTTGTAACTGATTAGATGCTGAGGATATTTCATTCTTTATTAGAACCTCAATGACAGTGTCTTTGTGAAAAATACAGACAAGGTAAGCAAACGCGTGTAGGTAGAGAAGGGAGGAGCTGTCCTTGGTGCTGAGCACAGTGACTCAATTACAACTGAGCTCAGGCTGAAATCACTGCTGCCCACAGAGCTAAACATGTCACATGACCTGATCCAAGGACACGTTATGTGATCCAGAAGTTGTGAATTTTAGGCTATGTTCAGAATGGAATACTAGCTTAATACTTACTGAATACAGTGCAGTATATACTTCATACCGATTAAAATAGTAAATGAAACAGTAGGCATTACTTCATGGCAAACATTTTATACAGAAGTAAGCTACATTGTCAAATTGAAATAAAGCTAAAATAGAATATTAAATTAGATGTAAAAAATCAACTTAAATGAAATGTTGCATTGGCAACTAACTGAAATAAAGCAAGTTGAAGTACTAAAATTACTAAAACTATAACTGAAATATATAAATATTAAAAACGAATCAAAATGACAAAAGCACATTGCAAAATTACTAAAAATTGAACTAAAATTAAAAGATAAAAGCTAATTCAAAATATTATTTATTAATAAATAATATAATAGTTTATAAATAATACTAAAATAACACTAATGAACTCACATCGTAGTTTAATTCAGCAAGTGGTTTCCAAATATCATCTTAATATTTTGCATTTTAATGCAATTTTGCATAAAAATGTCACAAGGTTTTGCAGTCAGATTAATCATTTATTTTTAATGATTAAAAATAAAAGAGAAACAGAATCAAAACTGATATTTCAGTTCATCAGTCATGCTGGAAATTGGGCTGCATATAAAAAAATATGTATAGTGAGCACAGTATTATATACTGCAGCAATAAAGAATAGTATGGTAGTATGCTATTCTGAATAAAGTCTCGGATAAGGAGGTATATGTCTGAAAGAAAGCTCTTAAAGAAAGAAAAAAAGTGGAATAATACTCTGACAAAGACCCCTCTAAACTCTTAAGCCTCTTAAATACATACAGTATAAGACAGAAATTTTAGGGCATGTAGAGAAGGAGAAATGTTTTTAGGGAAGAGACTGAAAGAGACAGAATGATGGGCAGCTCTTTTAATTATTAAACATCTTTGAAGGTCATGAAAAATAGTGACTCACGGGGTAACAGGATGTTTTGATTGTATCATAATATGAGCCCATCCTTACCCATTTAAAATGATAACAACACAACATCCACTATCCCAAAGTTTTAATTGACAAAAAGGTTTTTATAGAATAAGAGTTGAGAATCAAATCTTGGACACAGAAGTAGCTCCATTGCCCTTGAACATGTTAGTATTATTGTAATAAATTTAATTTGATGAAATGGGTCGATGCCGTCACCACCAACTACCTGCACTCATCTCATTTTTCTGATATGAATGGACTCTCTTTGCAGCCAATAACGGGAGCGTACAGAATGAAAATACATACAGTATAAGACAGAAATTTTAGGGCATGTAGAGAAGGAGAAATGTTTTTAGGGAAGAGACTGAAAGAGACAGAATGATGGGCAGCTCTTTTAATTATTAAACATCTTTGAAGGTCATGAAAAATAGTGACTCACGGGGTAACAGGATGTTTTGATTGTATCATAATATGAGCCCATCCTTACCCATTTAAAATGATAACAACACAACATCCACTATCCCAAAGTTTTAATTGACAAAAAGGTTTTTATAGAATAAGAGTTGAGAATCAAATCTTGGACACAGAAGTAGCTCCATTGCCCTTGAACATGTTAGTATTATTGTAATAAATTTAATTTGATGAAATGGGTCGATGCCGTCACCACCAACTACCTGCACTCATCTCATTTTTCTGATATGAATGGACTCTCTTTGCAGCCAATAACGGGAGCGTACAGAATGACTAGTTTCACCTCATTGTGTGCACGGCCTTTTGGATGGGAGATGTGCAAAGTGGGATGTAGAAACGGGCTCTTGTCATTAGGAAAATGAGAGATTCCTGAGTCGCAGCCAGAAATTGTATTTATTCCTTTGAGATGCTAGCTGCCAAGCTTTGAGTGGTCTGCTGGCATTGTGTCGGATTAAGAGCAGAACAACATCTTTGTGTTTTAAATTCTGAAGTTTGCTGAAATCAAATTCAGTTAGAGAATGAATGATTCATACAGTCCAGCAGATGATGAATTATTCATTACATTTCCATAACAAATGATGAAATCACAGCCTTGTCATTATGAATGCTTGTCACGCTCCCATATTCATAAACTTGTGCGTCTCAGCTTGATAATCTCTCAGATCTCTCACAGGCTATGCTTGTTCTTTTCAGAGTAGAAGTTGGGTGATGAACCATTACAGGAAGTTTACTTTGATCAATGCAATATGTGCTCCTTTGTCTCTTTCTCAAGGAGATTTGATGAACAATATCTTCCAGATGTTATTCATCTCATAATTTCGCCTATAGCCATAGTTTGAGTAGAGTTATGATAAAGTAGGAACTGGTATTGGGTTGTTATGGGATGCAAATCAAATATACATTGCAATAGGACTCATCCTAGTACATAAAAACATCCAAAATGTCCATCTTGGTAATGTGATGTAAAATGTCCCAACAGTATTTTTATTAGTGATACATAACTTTTATGAATCTGTTAGGCATTTTAAACATTTTAGCGCTCATTTTGACGCTAATAATTAAATATTTAATAGTAAAGTGTTCAGTTGCTTTTCATTTCTTGAAATTAATCACAAGCCTAAGAAAGATTTCTAGAATCTGCAAGTTTTTAGGGACTATTTGTGTTCAATTCAGTTCAACATGTCCACAAGATGGCAGTCAAACACTAATCGTGCATAGAAGTATGTGAAAAGTCAAACATTTACATAAGGCGATCATCTATATGAAGATAATTTATGGTTGCAAATATATTGTACAAACAATTAATTATTTATCTAGAACTTTAAACAAATAATAAATCAGAAAAACTGTCAGACCTTGCTTCCATTTGTCTACGCTTGTGTACACTTGCAAAGGTCTAGAAAGATTAATAGCTGAAAAAACACTTCACTGCATGAAGCTCCTACTGAAATATTGTTGATATTTTTTAAGGTGGCCATAATGGATTATGTATTTATGGCCGTCAGATAGAGCCATAAACTCTACAAATAGATCTGACCTTCGCATAATGGAAAAGTGGAATGACTTGTAGCACTTTCTGTCTGTAATAGCCTTCATGTTGTAAAAATCCAAAATATTTGACAGCTTTAAAGTGATTGTTAACTGCTATTAACTTTTCTGAAAAATATAAAAGCAATCTGTGTCAAGTCTTGAGAGAGCACAAAAGCTGTCAGAAATTATTAATTATTTTTTTGTGACATGAATAACGTGCTTTTGACAAACACATTTAGCAACACATTTAGAATGAGCAAAGATGAACCAACCTGAAAAATCTCACGCCAATCAAACGATAAACGCCGTTCATACCAACGATTACTGCAACCATAAAAGACACAATTTTAAAAATCGTTCTACATTTAAAAGATTAAAAAAATCACAACTATAACGATAACAGCACAGAGGAACTAAATCGATGGAATCACTTTCAAAAGGATTTTTTTTTTCGATAACAGTGACAACCAATCAGAATTCATCCTGCTTTAAAGAACCTTGGCGCGCGTTAACAGTACAATAAATCCTGCACTGGCGTGAACCATAGACTGTAGGCGTGAACTCATGTAGCTCCGCCCCTTTTCAGCCGCGGTCCTTGTCTTCTGTCTTCTGTTTGTATTTCCACAGCATGAAGGTACAGTCCTACAAATGTATGAATGAACCGCTTGTTTTAAAATGTTCGTCCTACTGTCATTTGTTATGAAATCCGCCTCGAACATTACAATGTTCATGATAACTTTCGTTAACTCTTTAATATGTAAATCCACTTCACCAGCTAATTACTCTTCAACATGTTACAAGAGCTACTGCAAAAATGGAAGTTCAAAGTCAGAATTCTAAATATGGCAGCAGGCTTGTTTCTCTGGCGCATCTATGATTGGTATATCGTTTGGTATAATTATCTTGGTGTGAACGGACATTAATGCTCCAAATCTAAAGCCTTTTTTATAGATAAAACTAGCTTTTTATCCACTACCTTAAAAGTCTCATTTCAATTGACCTGTACAAATACAATGTCAAATAACAATTGTAACGTTATACATTATAGCTCAAGGCACACAACTCAAAAGATGAATCTCAGTGATTTTGTTCTGTCATCATAAATACACTGAAGACTATTAAGACCTGTGCGTCCTCAGTAGACTCAGTTAGGTGTCAATAATAGCTCTCCTTCGGGTGTAACCTCCTGCATTCTGCGGGTGAAATCAAACTTGGCCAGTCTTCCTGGGCTTGGATCAATCTGTAACCTTATCACAACCCTTGAAACAAACAGCCTAAAAGCAAGCACCATCAGTTCTGATATACCCAAAGCAAACTGACTTTTAAACAAACACCATATTGCAGAGGAACACTGTAATTAGAATGTGAATGGGCCTATATTTAGGTGTTTTTTTTTTTTTTGGCAGTTTAGCCAAGGAACCTATAATCGAACAGACCGTGTGTTGGATACACTCTCTCTCTTGCTTGCTGCTGCGGCATTACGCACCGCACAACCTGCCCTTACTGAAGCTCTCGGTCTCGTATTAGGGTTACAGGGGTTTTTGAGAGACCATATCAGCCTGTTCAGACCTAGGCGGTTTTTTTTTTTTTTTTGCGCAAAAGAGAAAAAACCAAGTGGAGCATGGAGAACAGCACTTTATTCAAATTTAACAACGGGGCTCAGGCTACGATATGGACTGATTATAGTATCGAATACAAGGTCGCTAGCATCTTATTAGTGATTCTTATTTGTGGAGTTGGAATTATTGGCAATGTTATGGTCATTCTTGTGGTCTTAACGACCAAGCACATGCGTACCCCAACTAACTGCTATTTGGTGAGTCTGGCAGTTGCCGACCTCATGGTCCTGACTGCAGCCGGGCTGCCCAACATCACCGAGAGTCTGTTCGGTGGCCACTGGGTGTACGGATACGCTGGGTGCCTCTCCATCACTTATTTTCAGTACCTGGGAATCAACGCGTCTTCCTGCTCCATCACAGCCTTCACCATTGAACGCTACATCGCCATTTGCCACCCGATAAAAGCGCAATTTATGTGCACCCTCTCCCGAGCCAAAAAGATCATTGTTCTCGTTTGGGTTTTAACGTCCCTCTATTGCGTTATGTGGTTTTATCTTTCCGACACGAAAGAGGACGTTTATGAGAACGCTGTCCTCGTGACATGCGCCTACAAAGTATCTAGAAACCTGTATTTGCCAATATATTTCACAGATTATGCCGTGTTTTACGTTATCCCGCTTTTCCTGGCCATTGTTTTATACGGATTGATCGCAAGGATTCTTTTCCTCAACCCACTCCCGTCGGATCCCAAGGAAAGTCGAAGAAACTGGAAAAGGGAGTCGTCCGTGCATGGGAACTCCAGGAGTTCCTCCAGCAGCACAACAGCTGCTTCTCGGAGACAGGTAAAGTGCTGCTTTTATCTGGTTTATTTTATGCAGAAGTGAGTTTTCTTCTGTGCGTAATTTTGCGCTTGCAAACCTATACTGGAAGTTCTAGCATGCACTGGTTTGGAACGGGTAGGCTATCGTTATCTCTCGTTTCGATTTCTTGACTGTTCCATTTATGATACTTTTATTGATGAACAATATTAGAATGAATGAATACATACATAATATTCATTTTGTTCCTTCGGACAGGACAGTCAGTTGCAAATCTAAACAATCAAAAATAAATTCCACAATTCTTGCAAAAATGTTATACAAACACTTTTTAATGATTTTTAAAAGACGTTTTAGAGGGGACATACATGGAGTTCAAACATTTTTTCCTAACTATAAATTGAATAGACATATCAATACAAAAAAGGGAACATTTAATTCATTCAATTTACACGCTCATTACAACGAGACTAATCTTTCATTTCACGAGATCAGAAAACAAACTACACTTGTTTTAAGTCTAACGATCTCGCGATTCACTTAAAAAGAACAGTCTCAAGAGTTATGCGTTCGAGATTCTGACCGCTATGTGTTTGATTGCCTAAAAATCTCATTAGACTCATTAGATTCATTTGGAAACTGCACTGGTTGCTCTGTATGGTTTTAAAGAGCCGAATCATTAGAGTCACTCGTTCGAGATTCTAATACTTCACATTAAAGAGTACACTCTTAAAAATAAAGGTGCTTCAAAAGGTTCTTCAAGCGATGCCATAGAAGAACCATTGATGGTTCCACAAAGAACCATTCAGTCAAAGGTTCTTTAAAGAACCATCTCTTTCTTACCTTTTTATAATCTGAAGTACCTTCTTTCGCCACGAAGAACCTTTTGTGAAACAGAAAGGTTCTTCAGATGTTAAAGGTTCTTTATGGAACCATTTAGACCAGGGGTGCCCAAACTCGGTCCTGGAGGGCCGGTGTCCTGCAGAGTTTAGCTCCAACCCTAATCAAACACACCTGAACCAGCTAATCAAGCTCTTATAGGCATACTAGAAACTTCCTGGCAGGTGTGTTGAGGCAAGTTGGAGCAAAACTCTACAGGACACCGGCCCTCTAGGACCGAGTTTGGACACCCCTGATTTAGACAAAAAGGTTCTTCTATGGCATTGTGAAGCACCTTTATTTTTAAGAGTGTAGCGTAGTTCGATTCCCGAACAAATGACTCTTAAGCTCATCGGGAATTGAACTACGCTGGTCTCCTGTCTAGATTCTGTAGCTGTGTTGCGGTGATTAGACGTGCGGGAAACATTTGTGATCCAGAACACAGACGTTTGCTGATTATTTGGGAAATGTTATGGGTTGTGATGCTCACATAGCCTCGAGCAGGTAAAGGTCCAGATACATAGTGAAGCCAGACAGCATCTGATAAACTCGGAGCGACTGCACTTGTGGTGTTGTTGTTGCCCTAGGGCTCTTTGACTTGTCCAAACATGGTGAGAAAATACACCTCTCATGACCTTTATAAAATTTGTCTTAAACCCATGTAGCAAATCTCTACAATAAATGAACCGTGACATTTTATGGTGTGGGAATAATCTGGCAAACAATACAACAGCTGTACCGTGACAATCATGTTTATACTGTTGCAAAAGGCCAAGATGGAGTGAGAAATTAAAATGAGCATGCTGGTACCTCTCTAATAAGAAAACCATAGCCACTCATATTCAAATACATTAACCTTACACAATAATCAGTATTAAAGCAGCAATATAAATATGTAAAATTGAGTATTAATGGTACACAATAAATTCAAAACGTACCTATATTTAACTTAAACAGTTGAGGCTTGTAATAATATATAATATAATAAATACTGTATGTGTAAGTATAAATTTTTTTATAGATTTATTAAAATGAGATTGAAGAGGATTTTTGTTTAAAAAAATTAATAATCATTATGAGGGATCAGAGAGTTACATACATAACTGAAAACTTTTGCCATCCTCTTTGCTGTAGGTGACAAAGATGCTGGCAGTGGTGGTGATCCTCTTCGCTGTGCTGTGGATGCCCTATCGGACACTGGTCGTGGTCAACTCCTTCCTCAAGAAGGCCTATCTGGACACCTGGTTTCTTCTGTTCTGCCGTCTCTGCATCTACTTGAATAGTGCCATCAACCCTATCATCTACAATGCCATGTCTCAGAAGTTCCGGGCTGCCTTCCACAAGCTCTGCCATTGTGGTCCCCAGCACTCCGAGAAGCCCCCCACGTATAGCGTGGCCCTCACGTACAGCGTCATCAAGGAGACCTCCAATGGAGAAAGCCCAGACCACTATACCACAGAGCTAGACGACATCCGCGGAGCCGCCGAAGAGCTTCTGCCCGAGAGAAAGAGGCTGTCATTTAAAGAGTCCTCACTAGCTTGTAAAGACACATTGGCTAGTGCTTAGATCCTTGGTTGGTATGTTTGACTAGGGTGCTTAATTTGCACTTTCACAGTGCCTCAGTGGCCTATTGGATTGGCCGCCACATGGAAACAGCATTTTGACAATCATTTACACATTCGAAACAAAGCAGATTTATTCATAACTTATCCATAACCTAGACTTATATAGTAGCTCAAGAACAAAATAGGTCTTATCCAGTCTGTGAAGGTGAAGTAATGCTCCTGAAGCAATCATGGGTGAGGATTGACAGACAATTGGATGGATGATTGAACATGATTCAGTGACGGTATTGATTTGGAGGTGACTGAGTGTGTGAGCTAGGCTGCACGATTAATTGAAATAAAACCTGCAATTGTGATTTGGCTGCGATTTGATTCAAGTAATACAAGCGTTGCATGTTTCAAGAGCCATGCCCATGAAAGACGCAGGATTTTGAGTGCACGAGCACCACTTGTCACATTTTGCCAGTTTCCGCATATCTCCCATTGAAAATTAACTAGACACTTGCGAGTGGCGTGTCCCGAATGGCCTGTGTCAAGTGTGGCACTGTGTTATGTTACACGTGAGCAGCTTGTGACAGTGTTTTCAGTATCTCAAAGTGGCTTGCTTTGCAGTAAAAGCTTCTCTACACAAACGCATTTCTGCATCTGCTTAGTTTGGGTGGCTGTATGCATTTGAGAACAAACCATGCGCCAAGCATCTTCCCAAACTGTAATGAGAAGCACTTATAAGCTGGCTGTTTAAAGAGAAAAGAGAACCTTTAATTGCTCCATTTGGCTCCCTCACTCTGCCAAAACAAAATCACAATTTTTATCCGAAAAATTTTACATAGTACATTTTCCTCCAAAATCATGCAGCCCTAGTGTGAGCTGAGGGGTGAATTCTTTGGCACTTCCAGTCAGAAGATTTGTACCTGTGGACTCAAAGCGATGGCCAGTGGTCACTGTGGCAACAGCTGCATCACGACCAAATAATCACTCCGGAAAACCTGTTCCAGGAACAGTTGTCACATTTTCAGTCTCTGTGATCTGAAAAAATGGACGGTTGATTACTTCTTGGCTCTCATTTGTTTCAATTGTAAGCTCAATATTACAATTGTAGAGAAATATCCTGCCCAATGATACTTTCTTTTGCAAAGGGACATAAAATTACACCATTATGAGGCTTAAAATACCATAGTACACCTAGAGCCATGACATTAAATTTAAGGGTGTTACATATTCAAGCCCTTAATTTTAATATTTCACTCACGATCCATGCCCACTTTCCAAAAATTTCAGTCTAAAACTATAGAGTAAACAACTGTGTTGTTTTTGTCATATACAGTGGGTACGGAAAGTATTCAGACCCCCTTAAATTTTTCTTCAAGCCCTTAATTTTAATATTTCAGTCACGATCCACGCCCACTTTCCAAAAATTTCAGTCTAAAACTATAGAGTAAACAACTGTGTTGTTTTTGTCATATATATTGTGTGCATCATCAGTTGAGGCTGTTTTCTCACAGATCTGTCTGATGCTCACGCTGGCACTGAGATTTCCTAGCAGAGCTCAATTTTGCAGATGATAAACTGCAAAATTAAGAAGGAGATGAAGATAATCTGTGATTTTGGATGTTTGTACCTTTTGCATCATTGTGGTAAAATGGATGGGAAGGTAATTTAAGAATTATATTCTGCTGTAAATATGTTTTGATATCTCTCTCCCTGAAAAAAAAAACAACACGTTTCAGCTCTCTATCTGTAGTTTTCAGTACTTGGCTGCTGTAAAATATCTACATGGACATAGATTGTGATGTGACATTTTAAACCTAACACAACTTGAACTGCCCACTTATGTTTTTTTCTTCTTCTCATAATCAGTGAACACTTTAGTGAATGAAACGTACAGCTGTTGTGATGTAAGCAAAAAAAAAAGTGTGCAGTGGTAACATTTGCTCATTATTAGTGTTTAAATAGCCTTTCTTGCTGTTTTAAAACATGTTTTGTATTTGTATTTTGTACAGTTGTTGTTTAAAATAAACTGATAGTAAATGTTTGGGAAATTCCTCTTTGCCTGATTTCATTTTTATGGTTTAACATCCTCTAAATGTTACTCAGATATCATGCTAATGGAGAAGCTGCAATGTATGAGAATTTCATAACAATAATCCGGAAACATAAAATCCAATCAAATGGATTCCAGCTCATTTCCTCTAAATCATCCATTGGACACTGTATTTTGTCACAGATTACTCAGTGACACAAAAACAGCCAAAATTCACACTTATTTATGAGATTATGAGTGTCCAGGTCAAACTCCTGCCTGTCAGGCCCATTCCATTGCAAACGCAGTCCTGACCCTCACTAAACTATCCAGCTAATGGAGCCCCGATGCAGGGTGGATGCTCAGCTAGAAGATGGATGTAAAAGCTCGTCTAGAGGAAGAGCCTGAATAGCCATTTATTACCATTCCCTCCTGCCCTCCAATAACAATAAATCATCACTCAATATAGAGAAGTGGGTTATCAACGAAGTAATTTATAAGGGGCAATAAATTAGAGCGCTAACAAACATTCACGAGTTCGTGTGCCCATATAATCTTAGCATTAGTGGTAAACAGATTTGGCTTGATGTCTGCAATGGAGGGCTCAGAGAGATTATATAAGTGGTAAGAGGATGTTTTTATACTTGGATATTAATTGGAAGATTAGATGGGCGTACTCCTCCCGAAATTACGTTAATAACTTCACTTAGAGTGATTGCAGTTGCAAGTGAAATATAATTGGCTTGTTTGAGCATGACGTTGCAAAAGCTTTGTGTTTTATGAAAATTCTGTCATTAATTATTCACCCACGTTATTCTAAACTCAAACAATTTTCTATTCTATTCTAGCTTTATAAATCTTGTTTAAATATTCTTAAATCAAGATACAAAACGACATGAGATATTAAGTCTTATTTATGATTAAACCAAGAATATACATCTACTAATGGAGTAAGAAAAGTAAACTTGCCTGTAAGCCTTTGAATTTATTTTTCTTACCGCAATGGCATTTATTGATTTTCTTGTTCTAAGAATACAACTAATTTTTGATACCTCAATTTTTGATACATTTCTCAGAAAACAAGACTTAAAATATCATTTTGCATCTCAAGTAAATCTGTCTTGTTTTAATAATATGCTGGTAAATAAAACAACAATACCGAGTAAGAAAATTACTTTTGATGTGTTACTTATGAAGCTATAAAATGTAAAGCAGGAATCGATCAGTGTAAAGCATCAAAAATAGTGTAGAAACAATTTTCACTCCAAAATCGTAGGTAAATTTCACAAATATTACAAAGAAACGGCAACTCTTTAAATGAAATGTTAAATTTTGAAGTAGAAATGTTCTTATAAAACACTCTAATATTCTTTGTTTTGTTTACATACTTTCTTTGTTTATATTTCTTTCTTTTTCCACATTTTATGTACACTTTCTATTTGGCTACATGTACCAGCTGGGTTTCTGCACCAAGACACATTGGCTTGTGTGCCTGGGGCCAAAAAGACAAACAAATGCATCCAGCATTAGCCCCGAGTCAGATGTGGTGAGAATGAGCGAATGTTAATCTGAACCAATGGTCTCTTGACATAAGAGTCAGCAAAAGAGCTTAGCAGGACAGGGCTGATTAGTGTAAACAGCTCCAGTCCATGTTCAGCCTCATGCTCTTATGTCAACACTTGACCCAGTGGAGATAACATACACTCCTCTTCTATTTTAGGATCCTGCATTGTATAACATCATGGCCTCTACTGGAATAGAGAGTCTGAAATACAATTGAATTGCTGTTCATACTAAGTGCTTATTCAAAACAGCGATCTATCAAACACAAGGACAACCGGTGAGCATCAGGTGTTTGGCATGCTGCAAATAATCCTTTCCAGATTTTACAAGGATAAACATTAACAGTTTGTTTAAAAATATGTTCAACAAATATTGACTTAAGAAAAAAAAAAAAACCTTCCCAGACTGTTCGCTACTGCAAATGAGACAAATTATGAAAATCAATGTTTTAAACTCCCACAGGCCGCATGGTGGAACACAGAACAATAGACAGAGAAACCTGTCAGATGTACAACACATGCAAATGAAATCATGCAGATTTTAAAATGAAAAACATCTCAGTTGGTAAATATTAAAAATTATCCACAGATGTAGCTGAAACATGGGATCTTCAATATCGCAAGCAATGCCTTAAACTAGACACATTCTATTTATGATGTCTCATGGATTTTATAACAAACACAACTGACCAAAAAATATCTTTGAAAATATTAAATTAACCTAGAATAAAAAGTATGTTGTATGTGGGCAAAAGTAAATGCCTGTATGCCCCTTAAAACAGTTCACCAAAAAATAAAATAAAATAAAATAGAAAAAAAATGAGCTGAAATGTATTCACCCTTGGGGCATCCAAGATGTAGATTAAATTGTTTCTTCACCTGCAAAAATGACATGATTTTCTCACCAATGGATTCTCTGCAGTGAATGGGTGCCGTCAGAATGAGAGTCCAAACAGCTGATTAAAACATCATTATAATCCACAAGTAATCCACACAACTCTGTTGCTCCAGGTTAAAATATGAGTTCTACTGGTAATATTGCTTTCTTCAGAGAAAAAAAGTTGTCTCGTCTAAATCAGATCAAACATTTACGAGCAAAAACAGTTCTAAACAAATGTGTTAGAGGATTTTGATGTGAGAGGCTGTCCATGTGGATGGACTTTTTCACTGGAAGAAGTGTTATTATGGATAATTGACTTTTTTTTTTTTTGGCCAGAAGGGACAGTTTAATGTATTTGTTTCTTACAAACTTGTAGCTTTTCACTTCACAAGATATTAAATGGTGTACTGGACTTGTGAGGGTTGCTTGTGAATTATTGCGATGTTTTTATCAGCTGTTTGGACGCTCATTCTTGCGGCACCCATTCACTGCAGAGGATCCATTGGTGAGAAAGTGACTTGGTGCTACATTTCTTCAAATCAGTCTGATGAAAAAATAAACTCATCTACATCTTGGATGGTCTGAGGGTAAGTACATTTTTATCAAATTTTCATTTTTGGGTGAACTATTCCTTTTCGGTCTCTCACTTCAGCTCAACTTGGGCTTGCAAACATACACACAAAGACACAAAACCTCACTCACAAACTCACTGAAGCATTACTGTTATCTCTGCCCATTTCTTATTATAATGTAGCTCATTAAATTCAGTTACACAAAACACATGAATAAATATTATAACCTCCTTTTCAGTGTGCTTTCTTAAAGGGACAGTTGACCCAAAAATGAACATTGTCATCATTTACTGATCCTCATGTTGTTTCACACTTGAATGATTTTCTTACTTTTCTGTCATACTAATAAAGTCAGTGGGGTCCAAAACAACGTTTTTCAAAATGAGAGAAAAAAAGAGAGTCTGGGGTTTGGAATCATGAGGGTAAATTATGACTTTTGGGTCAACTATCCCTCTAAGACAAAAAGTTATTTCCTCTCTCATATTGTCTGTGATAACGTATTTCTTAACTTATCTCATTGTCATAAGAAATAATAAACAACACTAATTTACAGTACATTTTGGTACGTTAGGGCTATTTAAGGTTCAAGTATCAATATTCCTTAAATATATCACATTAACAATATTTTTAAAGGAAATTCTAAGAATATCTAAAGAACAGTTTACAGCAATGACCTCATGCAATGTTACGTGCTTATGCAAAAGACCTTAAATGGCG